GGGGCCGTGCAACGCGGGGTCACGGGCTGCGGGGATCGGGGCTGCGTGCCGCGGGGCGGGGTTGCGGGCCACAGGGGTGCGGGAATCGGAGCGCGGGAGTGCGGTAGCACGGGTCGGGGAGCGGGGGGGTTGGGCAGGCGGTGGCGGGGGTCATTGCGCGGGGTCGGGGTTCTGGCGGGGTTGCGGTGCCGGTGATCGGGGTGCGGGGTAACGTGTCAGACACGGTGGTGCTGTGCGGGGCCCCGGCGGCGGTGGCCGGCGGTGTTCGTAGGGTGCGGGGGTGCCAGGCCGGGGGCGAGTTCGGGGAAGCGGGGCCGGTGTCATGGGGTTAAGGCCAGGATTTCGGGGCAGGGGCCAGGGCTTGCGGGGATGGTTAGCCAGGGTCGGGCGGTTGCAGGGGTCTGCCGCTAGCGGCGGTGGTCGGGACCCCTGCCCCAGGGGTCCGGGAGTCCAACCCCCATCCCGGCTTTGGGCCCGGGGGTCCCCTCGTGACATACCTGCTCACAACCCTGCAATTGCTGCTTTCCAAAGTGGCATGCTTACCGCTTTCATTACCAGCCCAGGCCCGAATCGAAATGCTTTTAGCGCGTACACTGGTAAAATCTCTTTTCAATCAAAATTTTTTGTTTTTAGGTTATAGAATCTTGAATAAATTGTGGAAAAAAAACTTCAAAATAAGAGCACTTTCTTGGTATTCGCCTATTTTATTCTTTTTAAAAGGCCGAAGGATTTCAATAAAGATGCCAGTATTGAATCTAATAAACTGGCAGTTTTAACGAACAAAAAATATGCATAATGCATGCATAATGCTTGCTTATCATCCACTGTTCAATTCGATATTTAACAGAACATCAGCTTATAGCTCTTTTTTTGTTCTGTTTTTTCCGGAAACCATCTCAGTGTGGCATCAGCTTATAGCTCTGCTTAACATTCTAGACAAGTTCTTTTTACGGAAAAGAAAGAAAGAAAGGGCAACGGCCTTGAGACATCATCATTGAGCCGACCGCCCCCAGGTAATTCAAAATTACATTTCATCTGATCACAGCTGGCTTCGAACTTGGATCTGTATTTCGACAGTTCATTGTACCAACACAAGGTTGTATCCGACGGCAACACAGTTTCATGGAATGCCAGCATGCAGTCAAAAGTGAAATGCTACTCACATTAAGGTATGTTCCATTTGTGCTTCCCAGGTCCATCACATAAGGCCTGCAGTCAAGACGACACGTGCAAACATACCACAGCAGACATCAAGATTCCATGTCGATCAGTTCCCCACCCACTGCCTTGCCCCCGTGACCAACCACCTCCACCTCCTCCAATTGGATTCAATGCGCTAGTCCATGATGTATGAAACTGTCATGCAAAAGAGCTGAAAGACCTGGAAGAAAAGGTCAAGAGGCCAAGAGCTGACCGGAATCATTGACAAATAGATGTTCTGTTAGCAAGCATTTTTTGTAGAGAACATCATTTGGGGCATCGTCATCTCCATTCTGAACCTCTTCGGTGTAAGGAGTCCAGTGTGGTTTTAATGCCACAACGGCAGCAATGAGAGTACTTACATGACTACCACTATCGCTGAACCCTCGAGGAAGCACGCTAACAATTCCACGACGATGCACTGACCCCAGTGCAGGAAGAGCCAGGGAGGAAAAGGGAGCGAACTACAAGAGGGCTTTCATGACCAGGTGCTGAAAGCCATATCGCAATAGTTCGCATGATACGCAGCTCAAAGACCGTGTAGTAGATGGATGTCCAAGGCCGAGCGCTCGATCAGTCAATAGAGGTATACACGTTGTCCCTCTTTAAACCACCACTGCTCCAGAGACGATTCTGTTGAATCTCAACTTCGCCTGACCCTGAATGTGCTGAACATCCGTCGGTGACAGCAAGAGCCCAATTTCTCTTTCACCGCTAGGTAGCTCTTGCGATGATCCTGGGGTGGACATCCGCAGCCACAATTTGTTTTTGTGGCCACCCTCCGCTTACTCTAGACTGCTACAGGCCTGCCCAACTCACCCGGTCATATCAGTGGAATCCAGGAGAGCATGAGGAGGTGGTAGCTTCAGTCTGAAAAGGTTTTCGCAGCTGGAAAGATCACTGGTATCACTTGACCTTTAGAGGGCCTGACCTTTGTGATATTGATTTCAGTCTCCATCTCTCCAGTTAGAACCTCAGCTCCAGTTCATTTTCCGCATTAGAAAGCCAGAACGGTCGGCAATTGCATGTTCTTCAAAGGATCCCTACTGTAAAAAACCACTTGCAAATGTACTAGCATTTCCTTGCCACGTAACACCTTTTTTCAGGACCACAGCGCGCAACCCCTCCCTTGTGACGTGGGAGCTTAGCATCCAGAATCTGTCTCCATGACAGTCTCACACTGGGCGCTCGCAGCCAGAGACCCACTGCTGCACCAGTGCCAGGGATTAAACCGCCAAAACATTGCCCAGGCAAAGTGAGAATCGAAATTGAGGTGATTCGGAAATTTCAGAGACTCGGTTCTAACGGACCAAAATGGCTCACGGCACCAGCCGGAAGAAGAGAAAAAGCGCTGAGCTGACGTTTTTTAGCAAAACTTGGCAGGCAGGAGGAATCCACCTCTGCAAAAGAGGCTCGGATGTACTGGTGGCTTAACCCCATGTAAACGGACGGAATCTGTGAGTGCCTCTGTCTCTGAGTGTCTACTACATATCCTGTCTGAAAGAAAACCTTTGATTCTCACTTCAACTGACTTAATTCCTAATGGAATAGCAGCACGCGCTACATTCTCAGCAGTAGCTTGAGCAGCATAATTGGTTGAACGACGAGATCCTTTAAATCCCACTGAACCAGAAGAAGACCAAGATTTGGAGATACCTCTCTCTCTCTCTCTCTCTCTCCCTGTGTGTGTGTGTGTGTGTGTGTGTGTGTGTGTGCCGGTGCCTCCAAAATAACACCTTTCCCAGGAACTGCAGGCGCATCATTCTCTGGGGTCGAAGAGAAGGAGACACCTCAATAAAGGCAGTGCATGCATTTATTTTTAAGAGGAGACACAATCGTAAAGGAAACGGCACTAAACATCGTGCATTGAGAAGGGCTTGCAGGGACAGTACATTTGCAGAGGGGATTGCATGCAGGGTACGTAGGGAAGTATGATTCGAAAAGCCTCTCGAATATGATTCGAAAAGACTCTCGAATATGATTCAAAAAGCCTCTCGAATGAGGCCGACCTTTCAGAACTCAGATTCTGAGAAAAGATCGTCAGGCATCATGCACAGACGATGAGCGCCCCCTCCATAAATAGAGTTTACAACTACAACGGCTAGGCAAGGGAGGGGCACGAGTACCAAGGAAATATGAGCCTGACAGACGAGAGGAAGGAAGGAAGCAGCAGGAAACCTGTCCGTTGAATTCTGCCCAGAATCATCGAGTTCTGCCCAGATTCTTGTAGACCAGACCTCCATAGGATTCCATAGGCCAAGGCAAAAATCGCTTCAACAAAAGTAGCAAGCACAAGTGCTATTTTTAGCTCATGAAATGAGGGAGTCTAGGCGCACCGATAGCGAGTGTGATCTGGCTCAATACTGAGATATTGTCAGTGCTGTCTGTTGCAGGCTGATTCCCGTCAGAGTGTGCTGGTTTCATTCTCCCATACAAGTCAGTGTGTAAGTTTTCTAATGATTGTGATTTTCTGTCAATCCGATTTGCACGAGTGACGGATGCCAAAATTGTTTGAAGCCAGGCGAATCACAACATCTCTCTCTCTCTCTCT